GGGATCGAGTCCCGCATCGGGCTCCCTGCTCCTTGGGAGGCTGCTTCTCCCTCTGCTTCTCCCTCTGCTTCTCTCTCTCTGTCTCTCATGAATAAACAAATAAAATTAAAAAAAAAAAAAAACCAAACAACTGGGCCTAGGGATCCCTGAGGGAACTCCAACTTGTAGGTTTCCTCTATACTCCCAAGCTGAGGCTGTGTGTGTGTGTGTGTGTGTGTGTGTGTGTGTGTGTGTAGTGTTTAAATATTTCCATGTAGCTGTACTGTTTCCTTTTGGGAGAAAACTAAGGATTTCACCATCCCTTGTGTATATACAATGGAATATTCCTCAGCCATATAAGAGAATGAAATCTTGACATTTGCAACCACATGGATGGAGTATTATGCTCAGTGAAATAAGTCAGTCGCATAAAGACGAATACCCTATGATTTAATTCATGTAGAATTTACAAAACAAAACAAAGAAAGAAAAAAAAGAGACAAAGCAAAAAACAGACTCTTTTTTTTTTTTATTCTTTTTTCAAAAAACAGACTCTTACCTATAGAGAAGAAACTGGTGGTTGCCAGAGGTGAGGCGGGTGGAGGGATGGGGGAAATAGGTGAAGGAGATCAAGAGTACACTTATCGTGATGAGCACTGAGTGATGTACAGAATTGTTGAATCACTATACTGTGCACTTGAAACTAATAAAAAAAAGAGTTTCCTCATCCTTGACCTCACAGAACATGGGAAACAATAAGGGCAGTGGATATGGGTAGTGCAGTCAAGTAGCTTTCAGAAGCTAATTTAGGGCAAATGGTGAGACTTTGCCTCGAGCAGAGCTATTCAAAGGGGTTACCAGTGCAAGACGAGAGAAGCACTGAAACCCATCCGAGGTGAGAACAGTCAGGGCATGGAAGACCCTGGCAGGCAATAAAATGAAATGAAATCTTGTTTAAGGGAACTGTGTAATTGGTGGTTCAGAGAAGTCGGGCAAGCACAGAGCCCAGGGCAGCATGGAGAAAGGTGGGCTGTCTATTTCTTTCAGTGCTGTTGTTCCCTATGTGTGCATGCTTGAATAAGGTTCTGACCTTGCTGGACCTCTGTTTCCTTGGCTATCAATGGGGTTCACAGCATCTTCCTTGCTGGGTTGTTGTGAGGCTTAAATATAATATAATATCAGGCCCCTAAGAGTGGGACCCCTAGGTGGTAGCTAGTATTATCTGACCCAAGAGGGCTGGAGAGAGAAAGGCCTTCCCTCAAGGAGCTGTGCTGTAATCTGCTAGATGCTTCACTGGTAAGAAATTGTAATTTCCCCTTCAGACCATCTGGTATTTCTACATCAAAGATATTTCCAGATTGCATACTTTTTTTGTGGTTTCATTTCTTAAAAAACAAAACAAAACAAAAAACCCCAAAACACCTGAAATTACCTGAAATAGTGTGGAGTGTATGAGTATAATTTTGATTGGAAGTCCCAGTTCTGGCCACTGCCCTTCATTAACACCAACATGTGAGGGTCATTTACGTCCCACTGAGGGCCCCCACACCTTGTAAGAATCAATATAGTAGGTTCTCTATATATTTGTTTATCTTTGAGACCTACGGCCAGATGGATGTTACTGTGTGAATTCATCATATTTAGGCTCGGCAAAGTTGGGTTGTCTCATTTGCATCTAGCCATCCTGGCAAGGGTGTAAATAGCAACATCTCTTAGGAAAGCAGCCTTGGAAGGGGCGCGTCTCACCTTGGTTTTCCACAGCTTGATGGCACTTGCTCTGACCGCAGGGGTGAGTACTGT